CCGGTATCCATTTATACACCTGGGTGGAGAGAGGCACTGTGAGAGTAAAGTGTCTTGCCCAAGAACACAACACAATGTCCCCGGCCAGGGCCCGAACCTGGACCGCTCGATCCGGAGACGAGCGCACTAACCATGAGGCCACCGCGCCTTCCACTACCCTGGGTTGAAGTACATGCTAATTTATTACACAACGTGCAAACTTACATTTGATTAGTTATCCACCGTGGAACAGTTTTTGCAACTTTCTAAAAACAAATCACACTTTCCACATCAATCCTGGAGGGAAAGGAGGCGGGGGAGAAGCAAACGCGACTGGAATCAAGGCCTAGGACTTCTCCAAAAGAATAAAAAGGCAACGTTATCTTAATGTTTCAGCGAGAGAATTTTTGATTCTTTCCTAATAGTTTTCTTATCTCTTCTTTGTCTAGCTTGGAAATCATTGCCAGCGAAAAAGATATCGACATGATTTGTCCACAACGCATCAAAAGTACTAGAATTTTAACTATGATATTTCTTGGTTTTATAATATTTTACGCCAATCTTTATTTGCTTAAAATAAAGTGTGTTACGACGAAGGGAGCACCAAAGACAAAATTTAAGAGTAAAGGGCAAGAGAAGGACTCGATCCCACTAAAGCCTAGGCACCGTGAGACGATCGCTGTAGTGCAAGGAAAGAATTTTGCCGCAACAGAAAATCCGCCAAAGGACACAACTGCCAGTGACCTCGCTTTCAAATCAAAACGTTTTGAGAATAGGAAGACTTCGTGCGCTCGAAGAATACGCGAAATAGACGGCGGGATAGTGCTGCTCAGAAACGTCACTATACGTGCAGGGCTTAGCCACGCTAAGGTCCTTGAAATGCACTTGAAGCGTCCAACAGAAAAAGATGAATACTTCAAGCTGGAGAAAGGCTTCTTCACCCTCTACTGTGACGGTGATGTGAACGAAGCGAGGAAGAAATTACAAACAGCAGAAGCTTATTACGTGTTATCCCATTGGATCATCGCTTTTCAATTTGCACATCCATCCCTTTCGCCTCATCGTAGATCGAAGCAGTCATTTCAAACTGGCCAATACCTTGCAATTCAAAGGATCGAATTTGCCAGCGTTTACTGGACAATCATCGACCTGTTGGACATTTTCATCACGACACAACGCATGGGAATCGAACCAGAGAAGCTTAACATAGTTCTAATAGATGCTCATCCTGCTACTCCATTGGACCCCTTCTGGAGCGTGTTGTTCCAGAGACTGATAAAGCTTGGCACTGATGATATCTTTAAATACTCAAATGACGTTATGTTTGAAAACTTGGCTTGGAGATATCCCCGCGATAATTGCCCATTACTGGACAAAAATGTTAAATCCCTTAAATACATTCAACCTTTCAGGTCGTTTGTGCTGAAGAGGTTTGGCATTCCATCGGAAGTGCGCAAGCGAAACTGCAGTCAATCGCACAAACTCAATGTTCTGGTCAGCTTCAGAAGGGATTACCACAGCCACCCGAGAAAGTCACGTGGTACTGTAGACAGAAAAATCGCGAATGAGGAAGAAGTCGTAAATGAAATGCAGAGTAACTTTTCATCAAAACTGAACATAACCACTGCTCAGTTAGACTTGCTGCCATTGAAACGTCAGTTGGAACTTGTTGCCTCAGCAGACATTTTCTTCGGAATGCACGGGGCTGCCCATGCATTCCCCATTTTTATGGCACCAGGCGGGGCAGTAATTGAAATGTTCAATTTTCGTTCTGGTAATTGGCACATGGAGAAAATATCTTCGCTTTCCGGACATTCCCACATTATTTGGACAAATACAGATGAAAATGCGTATAACACAAAAACAAAATCCACCACGATTCCTGCGGGAATACCCACGATGCTGTTAAAGGAGGCAATTGAGAAAATTTGTGAATAACAACATTGAAAGAAGTTTGATTTTGATCAAGTTTGAGTAAATATTTATGAGAACAGAAAAATAGAACTGAAAAAGAGAAAGAAACTTGAACTAAAGAAATCATGGCCAGAAACTGAAAAAATATTTGTTTAAAAACAGTATGTATTCATTCATACGAAACTTTTATTTATTAGTGTTGTCCGCAAAACACTGAAATTTTTATAGTAAGCATTTTGCTTAAGTCCATTACAAAGTATTTTCGGAGTGGGTGGTGGTGGGGGAGCGTAGGGGCGTTATTATTTTCAAAGGAACATGTGTAGTTTAAAGGAAGATTGCTGAAATGATCTAAGAATAGCCGGATATGAAACAAGCAAGTGCAATTGTCGCTTAGTAAACCTCTTGAGCCCATACAGATAAGAAAATATATATGGGTTATTGACCAAGCTTGAGGTCAAGATGGCTGGGTGTTGGCCAAGTTCGTTTCTTGTGTGTTGATGGACCGAGATGGATATAAACAGGCAAAAAAAGGGCAAGGCCAATATCCAGCTGTCTTGACCGAACAAGCTTGGTCAACAAAGAATTCATTATAGGCCAAAACAGCACTATTTTCGTGCGGGACACAGCGGGTAATCCCTAACTGGCAAGATACCGCCATCTTGTCCGCTCGGGTAGCCAATCACAACGCAGGATTCGGTACCTCTTGCACGCTCGCTGAGCTAGCGATATAATTATTTGTAATTGCATACTGGAAACACAAAAAATACATAGAAAAAAACTATCCAATGAGAGACTTATCATCAGAACACATTTTATGGGAAGGATTAGTTTTGTTGATTTCTGCGGTTGTTTCCAGGGAAGGGCGGGGGGTTCTTGATATCGGAATTATACGCTCTCCAATTAGCGTTATTTACCATGCAAGTCATCAGCATCTTCTGATCTTCACATCAGTATCTTTTGAGTTATGAATTGCGTGTTAATTCTAAAATTGGTAGAAATTATTATTTATAAGCGTGTTTTAGTTTTTAATAGGCCACGTCCGATATATCAATACTCTAACATGGCTCCGAGGCTTTCGGGTCAAAATTGCAAATTTTTTAAGTTTGTTTTGTCTCTCAATTCCCAAAGAGACTTGGATACAAAGAAAACGCAAACAAATGTAGAAGTTTGTCCTGAAAGCCTCGAAGCCATGTTAGAATATTGATATATCGAACGTGGCCTATTGTAGCAAAATTCCGTTGCGCATCGCAATATTATTTTCAAATTTCAGTATACGACTGATTTACTTGTATTCAGGAAAGCTGTTGACTTGTTTTAGACCAGATTAACGCCAAGAATTCGTTTTAGAATTGCTTACGAATTTTAATTGTCTTTTGAATTTTTTAACGAAGAGTAATTTTTTTAAGGTGCATGCTTTTCGGCATAATAAAGAACAACTTAACATGAATTAAGATTCTTTAAAACTGACTTACAATTCAAAGCCTTTTGCGCTTTGCTATTGATAGATGCTTGTCAAGTTAAATGTGAAAAAGCAAAGTTGTAAATGTTGTTTTGTAAAATTGGACGATGATAAAATGTTAGAAAAATATAACTTAATTTGTAAAGTAGTTTCTTCTGCATCATTGTTGTCCACGAGTATAGAAAAAAAAAAAGAAGAACAAAAAGACTTTAGCAAACAATGCCAAAGCTTGGCACTGTCTATTGCTGCCGGGATTAGAGGAATGTCCCGGTCCCCGGAGGGGGGGGGGAGGTTGGAAGAATCCTATATGAGGAAGTGTGGGTGGTGGGGGGGGGGTGTCCCCATATATAAGCTGGCTATGTGCAGCTGTGAAGGATATAGTTCTCAGGCATCTTAGTCTGGGATAGGGTGTAGAAATCAAACACTTTTGTTCTAGGATGGGACCAGTGTATAAAAATTTTTCTCTCGACTAAGGGTTCTTTACCCGGGGTTTTATAATAGAAATTGAAACTCGGAAGTGACTTCGACAGTGAAAAAGAGTCCGCATGGAAAATAGGTAGAGTCTAAGATAGGGTAGGGGTTTTTGGTTCCTAATCTAGAATAGAGTTGCAAAGTCAAGCTGATCATTGTCTAGGATAGGGTAGGCGTTTCAATGTACCAGCGGCACACCCCTACCCAAAGATTCACAGAGTCGCCCCCTTCTCCGGGATGCTTGTAGTCGGTTCGTTGGAAATCCCAGATAATGGTCTTACTCACTAGGGTGTTAAGAACGAAACTCGGCTCTCTTCGTGGGAGGCGCGGTGGCCTCCTGGTTAGTGCTCGTCCCAGGAGCGAGCGGTCCGGGTTAATTTGTATTTAATAGTTTGTTTTTTCTTGATTGTCGATCGTGCAACTACGTCAAATTAATTGATTAATCTTAATTTATTTAAATTTCTATACCTTCATAAGGCTCTTATAATTTGCTTTTTCTGTTTCTTTTTCGTAGCGTACCTGTAAACTAGCTTTTTAGCTAAGCGTACCGACCACGTTAAATATATTGATTGATTGATTGTTTGAAAATGCATTTTGAAGGAATTCCTTCGTACGTTTCCACTAATGAATACGTGAATTATCTTATCATTCCACCCCAGAAACAAACTAGACCTGCTTAGGTCCTAAACCAAGAATAATAGCTAATTTGCCGAGACAAGAAAGGCCCAGTGATTAATTACTACTTTAAAATTCAACTAGCGATAACTACTTTGAAATTTTGATATTACTGAGCTATGACTGAACTGACAAGGCTTACAACCAACTGACAACTGATCTCATTTTCTATTTGTCCTTTTCAATCCTCTATTCTTCATTCTCTTTTCCTTTAATTTTCGTCGCTTCCATTCTTCATTTTTATTTCCTTTACTATGTATTCTCAGCTAACTAATCTTCATTGTTGTTTAGACTAACACGGGTCAAGCACTGTCACTTTCTTTCTTGTCGTAGATGTCTTCACCGATTCAAAGACCTTCAAACTGATTTGATAGTTTTGCTGGCTTCCTGCAGCTATTCGATCGTAAGTATAACAGTTTACCTTAAGAGTATAGTCATATATTTGTACTTTCATGAAAGATTATCAGAAACAATGAAGAGGTAATCTGTGGAGGAACGTTCCAGTCACCAATTTTCTTCGCTTCATGAAAACCCAACGGGTGCAATCAAACTGAACAGAACAATACCCCAACAAAGCATATTTTAACTCCTTATCATATCTGTGTCGCTCACGTTTTACCATATGATCGCTGGATATCGATCTACTTCCTTTAAGAACAATGAAAATGGCTTTGATACAAATTTGATGCGTATATGTAGGATAACATGAAAAAATCCAAACATTTTTGCAACGGTTAGTGATTGGTAGTCATCAAATGTCCTAATAAGGTGTTGGTATTAAATCGACTTGGTGAAACATCGTCCAGCGTGTTATACACTAACAACAATTTCAATATGCGAAATAGCAAAATCAGTGCATCAAGCATTCCTTGAAGTAAAACCAACTGCCACTTCTCACTTTGACCGATAAATCAAAGCTTTGTCCCAGTCTTAAGTACATATTTTATCACCGACTCGAGTGACCATTTGAGGTTGTATTTAATTGATAAAATTTTCAGACGAAATATTGGTATGTCTTTCGAATCCGTGTCAGTAAATTGTTCCAGTTCGTTTCCTTCGAGTTGAAACTCGTATTTCACTTTTTTTGTGAAACTGACTTTTTTCTTTGGTGCCTGGCTACCAGCTGATACCAAGCGGGGCCCCCCTGGGTCTAACCCTTGGGGGCGGGTTGGGTCACAGAGAGAGGCATTTTTGTGAGTAAAACTGGTCATTTTCTTTGCAGGACAGCCTGGCAGCCAGTTAGCCAGAAACAAGCAATGCGGGAGAGTAGGCTGTGTAGTGACAGACTGCATGTGATTTGAGTGAAAAAGCCTGTGTATTTTCTTGGAAAAGTGTCAGGGTGGTTGCGTTGAGATTAGCATTGTTTTCATAAATCCAGACATATGTATATAAGCAAAAAAATAGTTTTAAGGTATAAGACTACCTTAAAGCAGGTTCTGTGGAGTCCTGGGCCCCCAATTTTTTTTCGCCTTGGAGCCGAAAAGAACCCCAACGTTTTAGGTCTGGAGCCAGGATTAATAAAGCCCTATGGAACCGTAGTGACGATTGCCGCGATGAAAAATCTACCAGACTTATGTGCGTCGATGTTTGCATGATCAAGGTTTTCCGGGGCATTATTTCATTTTGCGCGCTCGTAGTGATCATATGGAAAGCGAAGGAATCGCTCGCCCTTTTTTTGTTTCAATCATATGGAGACAAATCATATGGAGACAACCCATCACTGATCGTAGTGGCAACGTTCGTTACTTCTTATCGTGAGCTTTATCTTTCGCGTGATCGGAACGATTAATGATAGAACGATGTAAACAAATTACAGGCGTCTCTGAAATGAAAGAAAAATTTTATGTTCCTAGCAGGATTCGAATGGGTCTTTAATACAGTCTTTGGCCAATAATAAACTATTTGATCACCAAGCGTTATTATGAAGACAATTTGTTTTGGTTAATATTTACAATTCAGGCTTACTGAGATGGAAGTGAACATAAGCCCTATTTGACCCGAGGAGATGAGGAGCATAAAGTGGCCGCGCTGACTGAAATTCTTTCTTGTAAAAATAGCATTTTATATATATTTAATCTAAGTGGTCAAGCTGTGTGACGTTTCGTAGAAATTACCCTGGAACATTTTTGTGTATGGATTGCTTGGTCTCGTGACTTGACGTTTCTATGGCAACCGTGTTGTGACTATCAGAAGGTGTATTTACATAGTGCGTTAGGGTTTCAACTTTTCTTGTGACAGCTGAGAGCGTTCTTATAAGCCTTCTGTGATTGTGATGATTACAAACCTGGGCCGGGTTTAAGACAGCAATTTAATTGAATTTTTCTTTATATGCTTCAATCGTCTTCAGGCCTTTTTTTTTTGCAAGTATAATGCGAGAGTGCTGAGGCTTCTCAAAATAATTTTGATCGTTTAACGCGGGACCGTCGCGAACAAAACAACATAATATCATTCATCAAACGAACGCCACTGATTGCTCAGCTGTAAAAGTATATTAATTTTAATTTCAGTAAGAAAAATTGTGGACACATGCAAATGTTCAGATTTACAAAAATTAAAGCTTCGAACTATTAACAAAGGAAAAAACGTACCTTGCGTATTACACTGATTAAAGGTCATTTGCATAGAAAGGGGCAGCTATATACTACTCCGATCAAGAAATCCGATATTTATTGGTTTGGTTCTATTTAATCCGGCGGAAAATGAATATATCTTATTATCTAAGTGGGAATTAATATGGACCTAAACAAACTAAAAAGTAACTGAGAAATAAGGAATAGTATTACGCTACTCAGCTGGTTTGTACTTTACTTTACATACTACTTCTTTGGCAGGAACCAGTCAGAATATTTCTTTCAGTATTTTCACGAATTGGCCCGGCTGTCACGGTGACATTCTTTGCTCCCCATTTTCTCTTGTACTGGCTGT